AAACGAGACGAAAGTGAAAAACAAAATGCACATTCCCCATATTAGCAGAGTCGTAAACATGGCTCTCGTTATCAGACCAATTTGGTCTGATGGTCTGAATTTCAGACCTTAATTTTTTCTTTCATATAATTTTCAAGACAGTACTTTTTATTTCGTCTGATCCATAAGACAAATGATTTTAGTTCGTCTGGATTTTCAGAGCATGCGTTATACTTCGTCCGAAATTTCATATAGCGAGTTTCGTTTCATCTGATACTGACAATTCTGCCCACGTAGCCATAGGTTGTCAATTCTGGCAGGCACCTTTGGTTGCTGTAATCGCACGTGTACTAATTCGCGTCGCCTCACCAACCGAATTTCGTAGTTTACTGTACCAGCACATAGCCCGCCTCGCTTCTACCAGCCCAACCAGGTCCCCTTCGCCTCTACCAGCCCAGCCAAGCCACCCCCCCCTCACCCCCTCCCCGCGTCCTCCAGCCTAGCGCTACCGTAAGTCCCCGTCGCCTCTACCAGCCTAGCCGCCCTACCAACTCTGTCAGTAGAGCTGCACTGTGAGATCCCCGAATGATCCTAGGGGGGTTACAGGCATGTTAGCTTGGGGGGTTATGGACGTACTGGCCTGCTACTGAAACAAGCCATTTTATCTCAATGGTCTACTTGTTGGGATACTGACATGGTATCAAAGCGGTCTCGGGTTCGAATCCCGGTGTATGCACCTGCAGGCCGTTGCCGCTGTACTCAGTCCTGAGCCTCCCAGAATGGGGGGGTGTCAGTAGAGCTGCACTGTGAGATCCCCGAATGATCCTAGGGAGGTTACAGGCATGTTAGCCTGGGCGGTTATAGGCGCACTGACCCACAACCGAAACAAACCCTTTTATCCCAATGGTCCAGTGGTTGGGATTCTGACAAACTCCTCCTGCCCGGCACTTCCCCCAACTCCCTTGCACTGTCGCACATCTTCCAACACAGTCCCCTACCTCCCCAACTCTACCTTTCCCAGCCCAACCCTTCCCCCACATCGCTCGCCCATATGGGGTACAACCCAATTAGGGTTTGCTACTTGTACTCCTACGTGCTGTTAGTTCACCATTCTCGCTTTCACATTTCGACATGGAATCAGAGCAGTTCCTTTCTTAGGACCGTTTTTAGGGCCCACCGAATCGCGCTATCCCACACGTCGCGCCGCCCTACTCGTGCCGCGCTGCCCTGCCCTGCCCTGCGTTGCGCTGCCCCGCGCACGCCCTGCCCTGCGCCCTGACCTACCCGCGCGCCGCTTGCCGTCATGCGCCCTGCCCTGCCCGCGCGCCGCTTGCCGCCGCGCGACCTGCCCTACCCTCGCGCCGCTCGATGCCGCGCGCCCTGCCCTGCCCGCGCGCCGCTCGTCGCCGCGCGGCCTGCCCTGCCTGCGCGCGGCCCGACGCCGCGTCGCCCTGCCCGCGCACCGCTCGCCGTCGCGCGCCCTGCCCGGCCCGCACGACGCTTGCCGCCGCTCGTCCTGCCCTACCCGCGCGCTGCCTGCCACCGCGTCGCCCTGCCCGCGCACCCCTCGCCGTCGCGCGCCCTGCCCGGACCGCACGTCGCTTGCCGCCGCGCGCCCTGCCCTACCCGCGCGCCGCCTACCACCGCGTCGCCCTGCCCGCGCGCCGCTCGCCGCATCGCGCCCTGCCCGCCCCGCGCGCCGCTCGCCGTCGCGCGCCCTGCCCGGCCCGCGCGCCACTCAACGCCGCACGCCCTGCCCTGCCCGCGCGCAGCTCGCCGCCGCGCGCCCTACCTTGCCCGCGCGCAGTTCGCCGCTGCGCGCCCTGCCCTGCCCGCGCGCAGCTCACCGCCGCGCGCCCTTTCCTGCCCGTGCGCAGCTCGCTGCCGCGCGCCCTGCCCTGCCCACGCGCAGCTCGCCGCCGCGCGCCCTGCCCTGCCCGCGCGCCGCTCGCTGCCGCGCGCCCTACCCTGGCCGCGCGCAGCTCGCCGCCGCGCTGCAGCCCTGCCCGCGCGTCACTTGTAGCCGCGCGCCCTGCCCTGCCTCGGCGCCGCTCACTGCCCAGCCGCCCTGCCTGCGCGCCGCTTGCCGCCGCGCGCCCTGCCCTGCCCGCGCGCCGCTCGACGCTGCACTGCCACCCTGCACGCGCGCCGCTCGCTGCCGCGCTGCCCTCCCTTGCCCGCGTGCCGCTCGCCGCCGCGCCGCCTCGCCCTTCCGTGCGCCGCCCCGACCTACCCTCGTGCCCGCTATAGCGTCTCTTCGTGGTAGCGGTGGGAGTGGTGGCGGCGGTGGTGGCAGCAGTGGGAGTGGTGGCGGCGGCCGTCGTGACAGTCTAGGTGGAGCTGGTCTGTGGGGAGTCTCTGGCGGTGGCCTCGTGTAGCTCCAGCGGCGTCCGCACGAGACCCTCACGCCCTAGCAACTTTGTGAGTGGTGTGCTAGTTGGTGTAGTGGCGGTGGTCGTAGTGGCAGTCGCGTGGAGCTGTTCAGAGGGGAGCTTCTGGCGGTGGCCAGATGCAACTATAGCAGCGTCCGCATGAGACCCTTACACCCCAGCAGCTTCGTGAGTGGTACGCTCAGCGTGGGGCGTCTCGGAGTAGTGCTCCCTGCCCATACGCCATTCGCACAGGTGATCGGGCTGGTCAGACTTGCGGGGCACCTGGTCACACACAGTCCCACTGCTTCTCCTGATTGAGCAACATCTGGCGTGCAATGTTTGGCGACGCGTCTGAGCTCCCCCGCTAGCTAGAGCTGCTTAGGCAAGGAGTGGATATCTTTGCACTAGACTAAGACGCTATCCTCACTGCCATGTATACTTTGACTATTGGTACTCAGGGTGACTGTTACCTGTGTGTACCGCCAGACCCTGGTATAGAGGCTGCTGCTCTAAGTGTTGGTGCGTCTGCTCTAGGTGCTGGTGAGTCTGCTCTAGGTGCTGGTGAGTCTGCTCTTTCTGGTAATGCGCCTGCTGAGGCCTTGCACACCTTCACGCTTGACTCAGGTGCTTCCCGCTGCTTCTTTCGCGACAGCACCACGGTCACACCACTCACAGCACCGGTTGCAGTCTCTCTGGCTGACCACTCTGGGGGACCGGTTTTTGCACGTTCCTCCACTGTTCTCCCGTGTCCGGCGGTTCCGTCTGGCTCACTGTCAGGTCTTCACCTCCCCTCGTACTCTACAAACTTGGTGAGCAACGTCGCCCTTCAGGATGAATGGGTTGATACCTTTATTCCTGGAGGACAGCGTGTGGCGATCTGCACGTGTGCACGGACGGGCCGTCACCTGGCCACGTTCACCCATCGGCCTGGGTCGAGCCTGTACACACTGACTACTGAGACTTATCAGGTAGCTGCGTCTGCGTCCACGTCACGTCAGCTAGCAGCCCCCTGTTCGTGTCGCCTCCTGTTGCACCAGACTCTCCTTTGGCACCACCGCCTTGGTCACCCCTCCCTGCCACGCCTCTGTGGCATGCACTCCCGTCTCCTTGTCTCTGGTCTTCCCAGGTCTCTACCAGCCCTCCCGCGCTCCCCTGCCCCGCCCTGCCTTCCTTGCGTCGAGGGGCGGCAGCGCGCCGCTCCTCACTCCTCCTCGTTTCCCCCGACGACTGCTCCCCTGAAGACCTCTACATGGACGTGTGGGGCCCAGCCCTCGTCCAGGGACAGGGCCGCGAGCGATACTTTTTGCTGGTTGCTGACGACTACTCGCGTTACACCACGGTCTTCCCCTTGCGCAGCAAGGGGGGGGTCTCTGATGCTTTGATCCCTTGGATCCGCGTTGTTCGTCTCCAGCTCCGCGAGCGGTTCGACACGGACCTTCATGTCCTGCGTTTGCACTCTGACAGAGGTGGTGAGTTCTCCTCCGACCTCTTGCGGGACTTTTGTCATGGGGAGGGCATCCTCCAGTCATTCACGCTTCCGGCCTCTCCGCAGCAGAATGGGGTTGCTGAGCACCACAGTGGCTTAGTCATGGTGGTCACTCGTACTTCCATGATCCATGCGGCTGCTCCCCATTTTCTGTGGTCGTTTGCGGTCTGGTACGCTGCGCATCAGCTCAACCTCTGGCCCCGTGTCTCCTTGCCGGAGACCTCGCCTACACTGCGTTGTACGGGAGAGGTTGGTGATGTGTCGGTGTTCTGGGTCTGGGGCTATCATGCCTTTGTCCGCGATACCTCCGCGGACAAGCTCTCATCGCGCGCCGTTCCTTGCGTCTTCCTTGGCTTTCCCCCTGACACGCCTGGCTGGCAGTTTTTGTCAAAGTTAAATTTAAGATATATCATGCTTGCCGTAGTTACGGTAGTTATAGTTCTTTGCTGTTGGTGGTGCACCTCTTGTTTGTGTTTCTCGACTATATCTTGTATGCTTTGCTTTTAGTGAAGCTAACTTGTTTGGTCAATTTCTCTCGACCCTTGCTCTCGCCACCTTCTATACCCGCTTGGCCTAGTCTTCCAAGCCTAGGCCCTAATTAAACCCGGTTACTAGTTCAGATCGCATCGTATCATGGTATTGAGCTATTAAAATCCTGACCTAAGTTAATGGGCCCACCCATTCGTGGCACAGCGCTCGCTGCGACGGGCTCGGCGGCGAGTCGGCCGCGTTTCCCTCGTCGCCAACCCGTCGTTTTTTCCCTCGACGCCTGCCTGTTGCCAGCCCTTCGCAGTTTCCCCCGTCGCCAGCCCGTCGCGTTTCCCTTGTCGTCAGCCCGTCGCGTTTCCCCCCCGTCGCGTTTCCCCCCCATCACCACCTCTGCCCACACCTACGCCTGCTGCCGAGTTTGCGCGAGAGTGGGGAAGGAGGGGGGGGGGGGGGGGGGGGCATCGGGAATGAAGGGGACGGCGTCCGTGGCGGTCGTCGCGGCCCTTCCCCCCCCGTCCCGTTTTCTTCCCTCCCGTCGCCTCACTCCGCCCGTTGCATTCCCCCGGCCCCCTGCCCGTCACCCCCCCCCCCCCCCCTATCGCGACTGTTCGCGTGTGCAGCGGCGGTCGCTGTGGGTGGGAGAGGGAGGAGGGGAAGGGATTGGCGGCGGAACGCTATGGGGGGGAGAAGGAAAGGGGGAAGGGAGTGGCGGCGGAATGCTGTAGGGGAGAGAGGAAAAGGGGGAAGAGAGTGGCGGCAGAATGCTGTGGGGGAGAGAGGAAAAGGGGGAAGGGAGTGGCGGCGGAACACCAGCGATCACCGCCAGCGCACCGACGATAGCTCCAGCGCTTGCGCGCCTCCTACCGTCAGATCCCGCCCAACCTGTAGCCCGTCTGCAACTCGTCCCACCCGTCGCGCCCCATCAGCACTAGACACCAGCACCAGCGCTAGCCGCCAGCACCAGGCACCAGCACCAACGCCAGCCGCCAGCACCAGGCACCAGCACTAGCGCCAGCCGCCAGCACCAGCATCAGCACCGAAGCCAGTCACCAACACCAGCACCGGCACCAGTGCCGTCACGCCAGCACCAGGCACTAGGACCAGCAGCCCCACCTGTGACCAGCAGCCCCGCCTGTGACCAGCAGCCCCACCTGTGACCAGCAGCCCCACCTGTGACCAGCAGCCCCACCTGTGACCAGCAGCCCCACCTATGAAGGACTGTACAGAGACCATCGTGGGTGGGGAGGGGTCTAGAGGAAGAAATGGGGGGAGGGAGTGCGGTTCCAGGGGGCGGTTGAAATGAGGGGTGAGGGTAAAGGGGGTTGGTCGATTGGGGGTGGGGATGTGGGGGTTAGTAAGAGGAGGCGCCGTGGCCACCCCCCCACCTCCTCTCCTCATCCCCCACTCAACCCCCCCTTTGTAAAAGGGGGTTAGTAAGAGGGGACGCTGCGGCCACCCCCCCACCTCCTCTCCTTATCCCTCAATCACCTCCTCCTTTGTTCTTATCTCCTCTCCTCTCTCTCTCTCTCTCTCTCTCGCCTCCTCCTCCTCACTGTACACTCTGCCGTCTTCCACTGCGCCAGCTGTACCCCTTCAGGGGGTGTTGACTACACTAGTTCCTACTGCAAGCAGACTAAGAAGGTGTGTCAAAGTCATATTTAATATATATCCTGCTTGCTGTAGTTACTGTAGTTATAGTTCTTTGCTGTTGGTGGTGCACCTCTTGTTTGTGTTTCTCGACTATATCTTGTATGCTTTGCTTTTAGTGAAGCTAACTTGTTTGGTCAATTTCTCTCGACCCTTGCTCTCGCCACCTTCGATACCCGCTTGGCATAGGCTTCTAAGCCTTGGCCCTAGTTAAACCTGGTTACCAGTTCAGATCGCATCGTATCAGTTTTACCACCCCACCAGGCGTCGTGTCCTACCCTCTCAGGACGTCACGTTCAATGAGTTGGTTCCCTTTTATCGTCTCTTTCCCTACCGCAATGCCCCTCTCCCCCCCCCCGCCGCTCTTCCTCGCTCCAGGTCCCCCTCCGGTAGACCCCCTCAGGTCTCGCTCAGGGTCCTGCTCCTTCAGGTGTGTCTTAGGTAGACCCACTCCCCTTGGTTGAACCTGTCGAGGTCACTGGTGACTCTGGTGCTGCTCGGGGTGCTGCGTCTGGGGGTGCTGAGCCTGCGGTTGCGGAGCCTGAGCGTGCGGAGCCTGGAGGTGCTGAGCCTGAGCGTGCGGAGCCTAGGGGTGCAGAGCCTGAGCGTGCGGAGCCTGGAGGTGCTGAGCCTGCGAGTGCGGAGCCTGGGGGTGCTGCGTCTGAGCGTGCGGAGCCTGGGGGTGCTGAGCCTGAGCGTGCGGAGCCTGGGGGTGCTGAGTCTGGGGGTGCTGAGCCTAGGGGTCCTGCGTCTACACTACGGGAGCCTCTCTCATCACAGCAGTTACGCCAGTGGTACGCTCGGCGCTGTAGCCTTCGGAGTGGCGCTGCTAGAGCTGGAGGCCCTGGAGCTGCTAGTCCTGGAGGTGCTGGAGGTACTGCTGATACTGGAGGTACTAGAGGTGCTGGAGTTACTAGTCCTGGAGGTCCCACTGGTGCCTCGCCCCAGCGGTCTAGCCGGCGGGAGCCTCTCTCACCACAGCAGTTGCGCGAGTGGTACGCTCGGCGCTGTAGCCTTCGGAGTGGCACTGCTGGTCCCGGAGGTGCTCGTGCTGGTGGCGCTGGGGATGCCGGAGCTGGTGGTGCTGCTAATGCTGGAGGTGCTGGAGGTAGTGGAGTTTCTAGAGGTGCTGGAGCTACTAGTCCCGGAGGTGCTCGTACTGGTGGTACTGGAGCTGCTGGAGCTGGTGGTGGTGGTGCTGCTGCTGCTGCTGGAGGTGCTGGAGCTACTGGTCCCGGTGGTGCTCGTACTGGAGGCGCTGGAGCTGCCAAAGCTGATGGTACTACTGCTACTGGAGGTACTGGAGGTGCTGGAGCCGCTGGTCCCGGAGGAGCTGTCGGTACTGGTGCTGGAGGCACTGTGCAGCGGCGCCTGTATTTTGTTCCGCTGTCGCCGTCGTCTCTGCCGCCTCCTGGCTCGGCACTTCGCCAGGTTCTTAGTCTCCCGTCTTCTAGTGGCCTTACTCCTCCCTTGCTTTATCCACCGCCTGACTAGTCGCATCCACAGCTACAGCCAGACTCCCCACTGCCTGCTCCTTCTCCTTACACTGAGCAGTCAGACTCTCTTACAGAGCGTCGTGAGCCTGCGTCTCGCCCTGCCTTGCCTGTTCGCGCTGGTCGCACTGGTACTCGTGTTCCGCGTCCGCGTCCTCCTCCTATCCCCGTCACGCACCATATGGCACTTCGTCCTTCCTCTGTTCCACAGCATGTCCCCTTGCCGTCTCATCCTGCGTCCTCTCTTGTTGACGGACCGGACCCTGAGTCTGACCTCCTTCGTGCTGCTAGTCCTACTATCACGCGTCTTCTGGCCACTGTTGTCACTTACCCTTCGTTTGAGTCCACTGCAGCGTCTGCCCAAATTGTTGAGCTTGTTGCCTTTGTTGCTGCCTGTCGTCTCGACTATGCCGCTAGTCTTGTTGCTGAGTCTGAGTCTGAGTGTCCTCCGTCCGTCGAGGGTGAGAGTGCCCTTGGCACAGACGTCTTTAAGGACAGGCAGGAGGACTTTGAGTGTTTTGAAGCTGTTGTACCTCATCTCGTGTCCATGCTGATTGCACCTGAGGGAGGCCCGGATGCACCAGATATCCCGACCCCGCGCTCTTGCGCAGAGGTGCTTACGGGTCCCTACTCCTCCCAGTGGCAGACAGCCATGGACATAGAGATGGCATCCTGGAAGTCCATAGGCACGTACGTCGACGCAGTTCCCCCTCCTGGGGCGAACATATTCGATGGCATGTGGATTTTCAGGGTGAAGCGGCCGCCGGGTTCTCCGCCTGCCTTCAAGGCTCGTTACGTTGCACGAAGCTTCACTCAGCGATCGGGAGTTGACTTTTTCCAGACCTTCTCTCCTACCCCAAAGATGACTACTCTTCGAATACTGCTCAACGTCGCTGCTCAGCGTGACTACGAGCTTCACTCTCTTGACTTCAGCACAGCTTTCTTACAGGGCAGCCTGCACGAGGAGATCTGGCTACGCCGCCCACCTAGCTTCACTGGCTTGTTTCCTGCAGGTACCCAGTGGAGCCTCTGCCGGCCAGTCTATGGTCTCCGCCAGGCGCCTCGCGAGTGGCACGACACACTGAGGACGACACATGCGGCTCTTGGGTTTGCTCCTTCGACCGCTGACCCGTCGTTGTTTCTACGCACCGACACTTCACTGCCACCGTTCTACATCCTCGTATACGTCGACGACTTGGTCTTTGCCACTGCTGACACCGAGGGACTGGCCATAGTGAAGTCGGAGCTGCAGAAGAGACACACGTGCACAGACCTGGGTGAGCTCCATAGCTATCTTGGCTTGCAGATCACCCGGGACAAAGCATGGCGCACCATTACCTTGACTCAGTCACGCACGGTGCAGCAGGTCCTTCAGCGCTTCAATTCCCAGTACTCCTTGCCACATTCCACTCCTTTGCCTACCGGTCACTCGCTCTCAGCTCCACCTTCGGACGAGTCCGTAGAGCCGAGTGGCCCATATCCAGAGCTTGTGGGCTGCCTCATGTACCTGATGATCTGCACTCGACCTGACCTTGCCTACCCTCTTAGCATCCTGGCACGCTACGTTGCACCCGGGAGACACCGACCAGAGCACTAGAAGGCTGCTAAGAGGGTGTTGCGCTACTTGTGCAGTCTGTCGGGCATGGGGCTCGTGCTTGGAGGACAAGGTCCAGTTGTCCTCACTGGACATGCAGACGCTTCTTGAGTTGACGACTTGGCTAAGCAGCGGTCGTCACAGGGTTACACTTTCAGCCTTGGCTGCGGCTCTGTTTCTTGGCAGTCTACCCGCTCGTCTTCTGTTCTCAGTTCCAGTTGTGAGGCTGAGATCTACGCAGGGGCCCTGGCTGCACAAGAGTTGCGCTGGCTCACCTACCTGCTGACCGACTTGGGAGAGCCGCCTCGTTCTCCTCCAGTTCTGTACGTCGACAACAAGGCTATGATTTCCTTGTGTCGGGACCACAGACTGGAGCACAGAACGAAGCACATCGCTCTGCGCTACTTCCTTGCTCGAGAGTTGCAGCAGTGTGGTCAGCTTCGTCTTGCTTACGTGGCCTCTCGGGCCAAAATTGCTGATAACTTCACCAAGGCACTTCAGCCTTGTGATCATCAGCGTTTCTGTACTGTTTTAGGCCTTGTGCCTACTTGGTCTCGCTTGCTTACTTCTTGACTTTGCTTGTACTGTGATCTATATATCTATACCTGCATGCTGACATTTGCTAGGTTTTGATCACTGTACTGTTTGTTCTCCATTTTATTACTCAGCATGTGAACTGGCCTTGTGGCCATTTGCTTGTGCTGAAAGTGTTTGGTGACTTCGTGATCCACCTTGAGCTGGCTTTGCTTTTCTTGACTCGTCTTGTGACCTCTTGTTCTCCCCCACTTTGCCTATGGGGGTGTATCAAACTCACATGTTGCAAGTTGTGTAGGCTGTTGTGGGGCAGCCCATGTGGGGTACAACCCAATTAAGGTTTGCTACTTGTACTCCTGCGTGCTATTAGTTCATCATTTTCGCTTTCACATTTTGACAACCCTTACCCTAGTCCAGCCCCCCACCACCCCTCCCCCCCCTCGAGCACCAAGCCTCATTGTCTTGTCCACTAACGCACAGTGTAACGCACGGCTGCATCATCAAGATGCAAGTTGCAAAATCTGACTTCGAAAAAAAATTCGTCTGAGATTTCAGACGGTCACAAACTAATAGGCAGGAATGATTGCATTGAGCAGTATGTGGGTACAGGTGCTAACCCTAAACTGGGTTGTATATGGGCTACCCAACTATAGCCTACACAGCACAGACATGATTACAGTTTGACACACCCCCACAGGCAAAGTGGGGGAGAACCAGTGGTCACAAGACTAGTCAAGAACAGTAAAGCAAGCTCAGGGTGGATCATGGCATCACCACACATTCTGAGCACAAGCAAATGGCCACAAGGCCAGTTCACATGCAGAGTTATATAGAAGAAAGCAAATAGTACAGTGATCACTACACAGCAAGAGTAAGCATGCAGGTATTTATATATATGTATATATATATATATATCACAATACAAGCAAAGTCACGTAGTGAGTGAGCAAGTGAGACAAAACAGG